CCCTATGGCTGAAAACAGGAAGGCTAACGGCGGGAAAGCAAAAGCCAATCATATTCATCATACGATACAAATTCATCAATATTAATTAAAAAAAAAAGTTTAAAAAAAAATAAAGAGCTTCACAAAAGCGGAGTGTGTATCTATACACGCACACACACACACATATATATGTATGTGTACGTATATATAAACATGAGAGCCATTTTTAAAAGAGCAAAGGAGGCGAAGATCAACACTCAGAGGAAAGAAAAAAAAGTAACCGTTTCTTTTCCTTTTCCTCTCTCTCTCTTTCTCTCTCTCTCTCTCAGGCGTTTCCTTCGATTTTGGGTTAAAAGCAATCGTAGAAGGAAGATTGTGGAGGAAACATTCTCCATTTCTCCAGATCTGAAGCTTCATCGATTCAGGAGCTTCGCACATAATTACAGGTTCTTTGCTCTTAGCCCTTTTTTTTTTCTGGGATTTACCAAATTCGAGCACATGAGTGAGTGTGCGTGTGAGTTTGTTTATATATGTGTATTGGTTTTCGAGTGATCTGATTTGAACCTCTTGCGATTTTCGATTCGATTCCTTGTTTGTTTGTTTCCTCTGTTCTTCGTAGTTTCCCTCGTTTTCTGGCCATCCAAACGCTCCTTTTCTCTCTTTCCTCAGCAATGCCTAAGCAACAACAGCGTCAATTTTCATAGAAATCGTAGCAAATAGGGACCACCCCTTTCCCTTTTCCCCTTTGCTTTCAGCTAATTAATCTGCCTTTACCAATTGATTAGAGATAATTAAAGTGATTAGGGTTAATTAGTTGTTTAAGTAATTAATTAATATAAACGTGTTTAGAACTTGTCCCGGATTTACAAAAGAACCATGTAATCCATAAGGGCTCCGGAGTATTGGATATATATACACACACACACACTTCTTTTTAAACTTGTTATGGTATTGGCCATTAAAGTCAACTAAATTCAGTGGCCCTAAGAATACACAAGCATATATGTTTCCTGACTAGTGGATTTTCTCCTTTTTTCTGCTATTTTATATAATATTTGATTAAAAAAAATTATAATCTGAAAATTCATCGGACTTTTACTCCAATTACATCTCTTAGAATACCAGAAAAAAATGTCCCTCTCCACGTTTGGGTTTGAATTCATGTTAAGAACATGCTTTGTATATTTCACCAAGTTTGGATGTATTTGATAATTTTGATTCTTTTACTTCGTATTACACGAAATAGTGGTAGCTTCTCTTTCTCCATATGATTTTTTATTCACATGGAGAAGCCATTTTCATCCCCACAAGCTTTTTTTTATAGGCATATGTAGGAAGAAGGTTCTGTTGGTAAGGTTTAGACCCATTGTTCCTGTTTCTAGGATTCTATCTTTACTCAACATAGATCATTATTGTGGTGTCATTTACAAAGCTTTAAGCTTCTCTTATCTTTATTTTCTTTTGCTCATGAAGTATTATTATTTAATCCTAAGAGGATACTTTTCGTTACAAAGAAAGGGCCTTTGGATATATTTCGTTCATTTTCAATTATGAAAAACAAATGGCTTTTATTTCGACCGTTCGTATCAATATCCTTTGGCTACTTCTTTATTTGATTAAGTGCTCATAACTATTTTATTTTATTTGTGTTATTAAATGGTTATGCATGACTCATTTGTCTAATATTAAAGTGGACCTGTGAGCGAAGCTCTAGAAATCAACTTTTTTTTTTTTTTGGCAAAAAGAAGAGAAAATTTATGGGTAAGAAAGCGAAAAGGGCATCTGATGTTGGTTCATAGTTTACACGACTTGCAAGGGAAGAAAAGATTCGTTCGGCCAATTGAATCCGTACACGTCTCCATGGAATGCACACATTCACCCGATTTCTGGATTCCATCTCTGTATCTGCATCACTCAAATTGCTCCTTTTTATCTCTCTTCCAGTCTGCAGATATTGCCTTTTATTTCCTTGTCAAAGAAAGTTTTTTGGCTGCTTCTTTATCTGATCTCCATCCTTTTTGCATATGCTCCTTTTATGTTATTTTTTTCGTTGAATCGTGTTGTGGCTAGAACTTGAAGTTGGGAATTGATTAGTCTTCTAGATATGTCTTAATTAACAAAATGTTAGTGGTATGAATAACTCATCCAAGTTGAATTTTCCATTTGTGGGTCTCGAGTTTGGCCTAAATTACAGCTTGTCTTTCTAGTTTGGTATTTTTTGTTTTTTGGTCTATTTATTCACGTGGGTTTCCGTTCAAGGTTGAGATCTTGGGGTGCGGCGTAAGACCCCATATTATTTATAAATGATCCAGGGATTGGTCATTTGGTGATTCTTGTCGAGTCTTGTGCGATATCCAATAGGTTCTTTCTTCTTGGATAAGTGAAAGGAGGGGAAAAGTTACTTGCACTATACGTATTCTCTGTCCTGTTTTACCACAAAAGATAAACGCTTTCTGTTGAGAAATGAATTCGGTGTGACATCAGAAACACTTGGGGTATATCTCCTGTGAAGCATGAATTCTCCAACAGGAATCTAGAAATAACGCTTGTCTATTTGTCTATAGGTTCGGTTTACTTTACATTTATGCCTCTCGATTTGAATAAAGAACTGATGCGCTCCACAAGGAGCTCTCATTCTGTGATTCCTCCGTTTTTCTGGTTCCATATCTGTGGTGAAGAACTCTGTTATTACTCGCCAAACAATTCTGTGTTGTGGTTCTCAAGGTTTGCTCTTTCATGGTTTCTTGATGTAGGTTTGGTCCAAAAGGAAGAGAGCTGTCCTTGAGGGTGCAACCGTTTTTCTTTTCTAGCACAGAAACCGGTCTACGGTCCAATAATCTCTGGAATTGTATTAATTCAGAGATTTTCCATGGATTCCATCTCCTAATGCCATGAAGAGGAGAGAAGTTTCTGAGTTTAAGGAGTTATGGAGACAGGTACAAGCAACAACAGCACAAGCAGCAGCAGATACGAGACCTATGAGGCAATCAAGCATGGGTCGTGGTTTATCCAGTTTCGCAACGGCTGCAATCCCTGGATGGCTAGATATGTATATGGTCTGATATTTCTCATTGCAAATCTGCTAGCTTGGGTTGTCCGTGATTATGGTCAAGGTGCCATGACAGAAATGAGAAGTATGTCTCAGTGAGGTTTCTCTCATATTTTCTTCCTATTGCCCCATGAGGGGTTTCTAAGTGTTCATCAGATGACTGATGTTAATGCAACTCCCTTGTTCCGATCGTTTTTGCAGAATTCAAGAATTGTAAAGGCGGGCGAAACTGCTTAGGGGCTGAGGGAGTCCTACGTGTGAGCTTGGGATGTTTTGTATCCTGTCTTGATCATGATACTATACCGTCTTGTCCTATTTCTTAAGTTTCATTAAATGATATCAAACACGTTCCTCCAGTTGATGAAATCACATGAATGTTTTGCCTTGACCACACTTTCAGATGTTCTATTTTATTATGTTTCTTTCAACTGTCGGTACCAAAAAGATGCATTCATCAAGAGATAGATGGCATTCCGGGTGGTGGTCCGCAAAGCTTGTAATGTGGTTTGGCTTAACCATCATCCCCTTCTTGATGCCTTCTTCAATTATTCAGCTATATGGTAAGACCGGCCGTCCTTGAGGTATTGTTAAAGAATGCTCTGAATTGTTTTTCTCCTCGTCAAATGATTTAAAACTGCTTTCTTGTTTCTTGGCTTGGCAGGGGAGATTGCACATTTTGGTGCTGGGTACGATTTCCGTCTTCTTTAAGAATGTATACAATTGTTTTCTCCTGGAATCTATCAGTATCCTCATTTGATCTTGTGTTTTGCTTGTTTCTTTCAGTGTCTTTCTTCTGATACAGCTAATAAGCGTCATCAGTTTCATCTGTTGGCTCAATGAATGCTGCCAAAATAAAAAAGATGCAGAAAGATGGTAAGATCCAGCAGACTTTCTCTTACATCTTCCCCCACAGTTTGTCGAAGATGAGATATTTCAGTGATACATTTTACACTGCAGTGTGTCCTCATTGTTTTATGAGCTTACACTGATCACACAAGTTTTTTTGTTGTAGCCATGTACATGTGATGCTACTAGCAACTACTGCATACATTATGTGTATCGTAGGAGTAATCTTGATGTACATTTGGTATGCCCCTGATCCATCCTGCCTTCTCAATATATTCTTCATCACGTGGACGTTGTTCCTCATCCAACTCATGACAAGCATCTCTCTCCATCCCAAGGCGAGTTACCCTTTCTTTGGTTTGAGGCTTTTATCCTTTTTCCCGTTCTTCGTGTTCAGATGTTTTAAATTTTTCTTCCTTTGCCGGTATGACAGGTGAATTCTGGATACTTGACTCCAGCATTAATGGGGCTCTATATTGTGTTTATCTGCTGGTGTGCCATTCGAAGGCATGCTTCATCCACCCTTTATTTTATTTTCTCTGTTTCTACGTTTTCTTGGGCGGTTCTTGCTTTTTCATGTAAATACTCATTTGAAACCACATAGTTATGCATCTAGACACTCAAAAGTTGCATAAAGTTCACGTAGAGCAACGGGTTTACTCGCGAAGATCTTAGATTAACTAATGATCTCCATGGGTTTTTTTTCTGCAGTGAGCCAGCAGGAGAAAGTTGCAACAGGAAAGCAGAAGCTTCGAGGAGAACAGACTGGCTTACTATCATAGTAAATACTCTGAGAACTTCCAAAACTTCCTCTTGGGTTTGAGGTTTCTGTTCTCATCCAGCTAAAGTTTTTTCATGTATTTGTGTGCAGAGCTTTGTGGTGGCGCTAGTAGCAATGGTTATCGCGACTTTTTCCACGGGAATAGACTCCCAATGTTTCCAGGTTCGTTTCTATGATCTTCCATGCGGTTTTGCCGTAAAACTCATGCGAGAAAAATGACCAATGAAGAATGCAGTTCTGCAGGAATGAGGATGATAACCAAGAAGAAGAAACTCTTCCATATGGCTATGGATTCTTCCATTTCGTCTTCGCCACGGGAGCGATGTACTTCGCTATGCTACTCATTGGATGGAACACTCATCATCCCATGAAAAAGTAAGTGTTTTCATAGAATCTTCTTACATGTACACACACATCCAATACATCAATATAGAGAGATGTATTAAATTCAGTAAACGCCACACATATATTACCCCTATGGCTGTTACTATTCAGTAGTATTAGAAAGGAAACAATGTCAATAGCCAAAAAAGTTTGAAACTTTACACTGATTGCAGAGTTAGGACACAATCTATATATATGGATGCGGATTTCTACGCTTTAATCTGTCGATAATGATTCCGAGAGAAGTTAAACTTGTGTGTACCGTTTTCAGGTGGACGATCGATGTGGGATGGACGAGCACTTGGGTAAGGATTGTGAACGAATGGCTTGCGGTTTGTGTGTACAGTAAGTAACCCCCGAAAACCTCTTTCCTCGTATGCTTTTGCAACGATGAAGTTCATTCATTCCCTCATACTTTAAAATGAAAATGAGTTAAATGTATAATACATAATTGTTTAATGTGAATCGTAAGAGATTTGCTTGAAAACAAAGTTTGGAACTTTATATAATATTTTTCTTTTTGGTCGCAGTTTGGATGCTGGTTGCTCCAATTGTGCTGAAGAGTAGACAAACAACACGAGGGGCATGACAGATGCTGTTTTTTTTTGCCTTTGGTTTGATCTGAAATGTCCCCATTAACAGAGAAAAGAGTTTTCAACCCTCGAAGGAGCTCCGACTAAAACAAAAAGGAGAAGCTCCGGACGGTGACGTCACATGTTCGTGTTCATGGGTTGGTTTTGTCTGATGTCTGATTTGTTAAATCAAGATATCAAATACATGCCAAAATTACTTGGTTGACGTTTGGAAGGTTAAAAGAGCCGTTGGAAGACTTGCTAAATCAAAGGAATGCAATCTGATATCATAATATTGAATCAGTTGCATAATTAACTCAAATTGAATATGAAAGCTCCACTTAACTTATTATCCTAATTCTCTTCTACTCATATATTCCTTTTATGTTTTCTATGTGTTTGTTATTTAAATATGTATGTAATCTATTACAAATGAATAAGAAACGTAGGAGATGTATTCTCCATTTTCATTCTTAATCTCCACCTGATTTATTATTCTCCTATTCTTCTTTGTTTCTTATTCAATCCACATCTATCAAACTCAGAAAATCTCCATGGTATCAGAGCGTAAAGGTCCATGAACCCCTCTGTTCCAAATTTCTTTTAATTCCGCTGCATAACTTTCCGTAATATACAAACCGAAGAAAGTTCGAATTTTTTTTATCCTTTTCATCCGCAATATACATCCCTAAAAGGTCACATGAAGTGTACTTGGGATGATTTTGAAAGCCTTGAAGATGAAGAAGGAAATCATTGTTCATACATCGAACATGCCAACGGTGTCGTAGAACAATTTTGGTGTACCAAGAAAGAGGTTGACGCATGGAATAACCTCTCCATAGAAGAAGTTCAAGCCATGTGTGTAGATGACGAACCATATAGAGAAGAACAAAACAAGGGGGAATGGGATGTAGAGGACATTCTAAATCAACTCCCACTGCAAATCAAAGAGGCGTTGGTACAAACGGCCAATGCAAACAAATTTGAGTTAAGTGTCTCTTCTTGAAGATTTGTTAAATACTAACGAGTTTTTTTGAAATGATACAACAAACACAGGTTAAAAGCAAAGAAATTCTATCTCAAGTTGTCGAAGAGAGTGAAATGGATGGAGAACTACAAACCGAAGATAAAAACCATGAGAAAGGGCGAACCTTGGATGCAATAAACTCGGAAAAAGAAGGAATAGAAACAAATATGATAGTGAATGACCCTATAGTGGAGGAAATGAACTTCGAAGAAGAGGCATCACATGCATCCGACATCATTCCTCATCCGACAATAACAAAGAATTCGAGCATCTCCTTCGCATGGAGAGAAAACCAAGTTTGTAGTTTCTTTTATTCTCCCGTATCATTTGATTTTTGTGTTCCAAGTTATGTGTTTGGTGTTTTTAGTGTTTATGAACAGAAAATACAATAATTAATCACGAGGTTTCATGGAGTTGAGCAGCTCACGAGTGAGAGGGAATGGTATGGTACACTCGTATGTTTCTCTACAGAAAAGGACACAATGCAAGTATCCGACCACAAAACGAATATGACATTACCTACGAATTCCAATTATTCTAGGTTTGATGTCTCAAGATCATCAAATTTGGAATTCATACACGTAAGAACATTATTTTTACTTTTGTTTGATGAAAAATATATCATTGCGTGTTTTTATTCATTTTATCGTTTCAAACGGAGTGCTACGGGCTCCCTTGTGTTATCTAACCATTTTGTTAAGATCATATAGAAAATAAAATTTTGGGCATGTGAAATGATGGAAAAGCCAAAAGAACCGCCATGGGATGTGATCACACGTTTAAGGAGGAATCGACGCGCACATGAACATACGTGTTACAAGATTAGTTTTTCGACAATTCTCCAAACTAATCTTGAGGGGAAATGTTAAATCAAGATATCAAATACATGCCAAAGATTACTTGGTTGACGTTTGGAAGGTTAAAAGAGCCATTGGAAGACTTGCTAAATCAAAGGAATGCAATCTGATCTCATAATATTGAATCAGTTGCATAATTAACTCAAATTGGATATGAAAGCTCCACTTAACTTATTATCCTGATTCTCTTCTACTCATATATTCCTTTTATGTTTTCTATGTGTTTTTTATTTAAATATGTATGTAATCTATTACAAATGAATAAGAAACGTAGGGGATGTATTCTCTATTTTCATTCTTAATCTCCATCTGATTTATTATTCTCTTATTCTTCTTTGTTTTTTATTTAATCCACATCTCTCAAACTCAGAAAATCTTCATGATTGATCGGGAATCTCTCGAAACATTATTTGTATAGGCCCCCGTCATTCGAGGTAGGTTATTGTTATTATTATTATTATTATTAGAAAACAATAAGAAGTTATTATTTCTGAAACTCGTCAGCTGGTCGGTGGCCTGATATATTTCATCATCATCTCCTCCACGATTGCTGTTTACGATAAGGATCCTTATAAGGTCTCAACTTGTTGCACCACTACCACCCGCAAACGGAGCGGTTGCGGTTTCTGGCGAGGTGGCGGTTGAAAAATTGACTGGTAAAGTCACAGAGAAACGCAATCGTAACAAAACTTTAAAATTCAAAACACTGCTTTTTAGGCTCATTTTGATAGCGTTTTCATACGTTTTAAGCAAAAGACAAAAATAACATTTTTAAAAATTAAAAAGAAAACCCTAACTCTATTGCGTAATACACCGAAGTTCATCTCTGTCGCGTCAAACCCAAACCCTAACTCTCTCTGTCGATCAGGATTCTCTCTCCGTTCAGATTGTTGAAGCTCACCAGAATTCAACTCCGTCGCCTCCAGGTATGCTTCTTTTTATCTTATCGTCTTTCTCCTTCTGAATTTTTCGGTTTTTGTTTGAATATTTGGGTTTGTCCTCTTTGTCTACCTTTGTTTTTGTTTTATTTTGTGTTTTGTCTAGTTTTGATTGATGCTCTGTTAGCTTTGCCTAGTTTTGTTTGTGTTTCCTCCCTAATTATGTCTCTGTTTGAATCTTTGGATCGATACTCTGCATATGTTTGTACTGGTTTTTGGTCATTTGTTCAAATGGGTTTAGGTTTTGGCTACAGATATTGAATATTAATTAGTTTTAGAAGCAATGCATGGAAATGATGATTTGGGTTTATTGTTGAAACACGAGATGAGTTTTTTATTTCTTGGCATTTCACCTTAATTTTAGAAGCAATTGGGTTTATTTTATCTTAAAATGTGTTTGTTTTTTTCATTGTTTTACAATATCTAAAGAATGAGTTGTTTCAAAGTGTTTTTTCGATGGAGAATTTCTAAGTTATAATTTCATAGATTGTGGGATTCCTTTGTTATTGATTTCACTTCTGTTTTGAATAAAAAAAGATATTTCTTTGTTATCGATTCTTTGATATGACAATGGATGACTATATGACAAATGTCAGACGGGGTCGCTAAAGAAATATGGGATACGACAAACTAATATTAGTATTTATTATATTTTTTTTTTCATTTCAATTGTTTGTATTATGTTTTGTGTAAAATATTATTTATATTTTGTTGATAATTTTGTTTAATATTATAATTTAAGTTTAATTTTTGATATTATGATTTGAGTATTTTTAAATTTATCAATAATTATTTTTAGTATTTTTATGAAAAATTATTTTTAATTAAATATAAATTAAATTGATTAAATTTATATTTCAAAATATTTTATATAATTATTTATAAATTATATAAAATATTTTTTTATCAAATGATAATATAAAAATTATTTACAATTAATTTGAAATATTATCTTGAAATCATGTCTTAGTAATTTATACCAAAACGCAACTGTAAACGTTGACAACCATTCACTTCTATCCGCAACCAATCGCAATCACCACCAATAGCTATTTACCAACTAGTCAGTATCAACCGTCCACAATCGCCACCAAACATTTTGAAAACGCTAACATCTGCAACTGTAACTGCATCGGTAGTCGGTACAACCAGTCGGGGCCTAACTGCTACGCAATGCCTCGGGACGGGTTTATAGAACTAAGCCCGAAGTTTGGTAAGATTCGGGTTTGGATTTTGGGTTCGGATTCGGGACGGGATGTATCGACCGGTTAATACCTTCTTCTATGTGTAATGATAATTTTTTTTCGTATTTATTTATTTTAAATAAATTGGACTTTTCGGTCGGAAACCTGATCTAAATCTGATCCAGAAGTCTAAATGTTTTCGGATCTATAAATTCAGATCCAAATCCGACATTTTTCGGCAGGGGTAAATATACTAGGGCGAGTGATAGTCGACGGCGCCGTTAGTTTTGCATGTTTCCGTTTTGTTTGTAAAAAAAAAAAGACTGTCATGTACGGGTTTTCCGTTACATGTGGCTGGCTGCTGGTACTTAAGCTTTGTATTAACACCGTTTCACTTGGTGAACACACAGAAAATGGTTCCACAAAATATAAATGTCTTATTCTCTCTGTTTAATCAATAATATACGATGAAAAACCTTTAGATATGATAGATTAATGAGAATGAATTTTTAGATAATTGCTAAAAAAATAATTCAAAGATTGATTATTTTCTTAATTTTAAAAATTCCGAAGCAAATGGTTTAGGGCCCATAAGAAGCAAATGTTGATTTGTTGGGCCTACAAATGGGCCCAAAAGAAATTTTGTCACTTGGGCTGTGGAACCCTCTGAATAGGCGAGAGTCTTAGCGAGTCCAATCTAGTGTCACTCCCTCGGCGTTCCTTTTTGCCTTCAAAAATCCATAAACATCACTTTAACGGATGGTATAACAATGGAGTTCGGCCTTTGCCTTTCGCTACCGCAAGTGATAACAAAGTTAACAAAAACAGTAAATCCGGCATGGGAAGGAACGTAGAAACAAGAGTGTCGAGACGGTTCATTCGGGATTACGGAAACGAGACGTGTGAACGAAGTTAACAAGGAAGAGACAGAGAGTTATCGTAAGTAGATCCGACGTGGTGAATGACAAATCCGTAGATCTTGCGCTTCAAACGCTCGATCTTGTCCGTTAAGGACGGATCCTCCTCTTCCTCTCGGGACGAAACCACTCGGTCCAACCACTCGTTGACACGCTTCAGCTGCGACAGAACAGCCGCTATGGAGCTGCAGTCCAGAGACAGAGCAGCCGCCGTGTTTTTGTTGTCAAGAGATGACTCGACGAACCCTAGGAACCACTTCTGCATCTCGGTCTGTAACTTCGCTGCGAGTTTAACTGTCTCCTTCATTCCGTCTCCATCAGTCCACTTCCCGAGGGCATGATCTGAAACGCCGATTTTGCGACCAGAAACATCATCAGTCAAAGAGGATATCTCACAGTTAAGTTGTGATCCGCAAGTGTTTCAGATGAAAATCGATTTCGATACATTAGATGGTATGTGAGCAAACCTGTTTTAGGGTTGGTCTCGATAGAGGGTCTGTGAGGTTGGCGATTGGAAGTACATTTTTTAAGAACAGAAGGCGCTTCGTTGCTCTTCTGGTTTGGCACGAGTGAGACTACATCAAGATCGGTGGCTAATGCAGCCTCCACCCAAAGAGAGATTGAGTTTGATTGCTCGGCCGAGGCGTCATGTGCTGAAGAATGGCCGAAAGCAACAGACTTGGCGATCTTAGAGTATCTCACGGTGTCTTCATAGATGGCCAGAAATTGATTGATGGTGGGGAGTGGATTTCCGAGCTTCGGTGTCAAAGACAGTTCAGAAAATTTACTGAAATGGAGAGCAAACAATGGAGTCGAGGGTAAGTCATGATTATCGATAACAAAAGCAGGAGGGCTGAAGTCTAAAAATTCAATCAATCCGAGGAGTTTTAATGGCAGATGCATCGTGAATGAACCGCATTCAGATGAGGGATTTACCTTAAACACCTAATGATACACTCGTTCGAGTTGGCTTCTTCCAAAGCTCGAGCTGCGGTTCTAGCGGCAACATCTCTTCTACGGGTAGCCTCCTGAGTGTTCAGATCGTACAATCACAGATTCAGAAAGAAGGAAACAAAGCAATTATTGTTCAATACGACTGAACAAATGCTTACCTTTGCGAGTTTCGCAAGGTCCTGTGAGACGGTATCCCATGGTATGCTTCCATCAGTCCATTTCGGTTCATGAAAGGTGATGCCAAGCGCTTCAATGGCTGAAGCCTCATGGACTGAACTAGTTTCTGATGAACAGGACTTATCTTTATCTTCACATGTTGAGGTGTCCTCCTTCTCACCCTTTCGGCTATTCACATCGCTAAGACGCCTCGATATAGCAGCCTGAAATATTCGTAAGAAACAGTGTTCACGAACCAAATCTGCTGCTATGAAGATCTAAGTGCCAGAATTTGAGGGTTTTGTTCAAGTGGGTAATGGGTGGATCACCTGAGTACGCAGGATTGCCTGAAGATCAGGCTTGTTCTTAGCAGAACCCTTCTCTTTCTGCTCCTTCTGGGCACTTCCATCGGCTGATACAGCATTCATTCCGGTCCCGGACTCATCCCAGCTCTTGCGATTACTACCCTTGGCTGATGAACCGACGAGGGCTTCTGACACCTTGGAAATTCCGGCAACAATGGCCGCCATCTTCTTCTTCCCGGACGAATCTCCGACCATCGGAGAGACCTTGAAAATACCCGACAGCCTCCGTCCCGGCGAAACCGAAGTCCTCCTTCCACTCGGAGATGGATGGAGCTTCCTCCCTGTCGGCGACGGTTGTCGATACCTCGACGGAACCACAATCGCAGGCTCCCTCGCCACCTTCCTGTTATCCTCACGCGCCGCCACGAGGCTCGGCACCACGCACTTAGAAGGCACCGGAGACGCTGATCTCCTTCCCTTCCCGGCCTCCGCCGCCGGCGACGGATCTCTCTTCTTCCCCGTCGAGATTGACCTCTTCGATGACGCCGGTGACGAGAATCTCTGCGGTGTCTGCTTTGATCTCGGATTCAGATTCTCTTCGTTCCGATTCATCGGAGCAAGTGCTTGCCTCCCGGCGTATCTGGAAGACTCCTTGCTCTGTGACGTCACTGCCGTGACATCGTCGTCGACACGCTTATTGTTCAAGTAAACTGCGATTGGGTCGAGGGAGTACTCGGAATCGGCGACGGGTTGGATGACGAAGTCACGTTTGGACCCGGAGGAGACGCGAGCGATGAGCGGCTCGGGAGATCCGACGAAGGGATGGCGGCCGGCGACGGGGCGGATACCGACGGCGCGAGGGACGGGGGTGGAGAAATCGAGACGTTCGAGGTAGATGAACTGACCGAGCTGGAGACGGTTGGTGAGGATGAGATCGGTGTCGCGGTCTGAGAGAGAGACGTAGGTGGAGTTAAGGGAGTCGGAGATCTGGACGAAGAAGCCATGGTTGGGCCAGAGATCGGAGCCGGCGAGGGCGGGGACGATTCCGGTGACTTGGAGGAGGGGGGATCTGTGGTCGCCGGTGACGCGAGTGCCGGAGTTCATTGACTGGAGGAGCTTCAGGAGGATTCCTGGCGTGAGAGACGCCATTTTCGTGTGAGTGAGCTCTCTGTATGTGTGTGACAGTGGGAGTATTGGAGGGGGAGAAGAAGAAGAAGAAGAAGAAGAGATGAGGGCATGGGAGATTTCGGGCCGTTACGGGATTTGAATTTTGAATTTTTTCGCCACCCTTTTTGTTTAAATTATTATTCTACTCGAAATTATTATTTTTTTTTAACGGGACGGAGTACGGAGAAATTAAATTTAAAAACGGTACATGGTTGAAAAAACCCAACTTTAAAAATTTAGAAACATAAGATTACATATTACGCCAAGGCACAAACTTTTACGTGTAAAGTAATAATCAGAATAACAGAAGAAAATCTCCATGTATGCACTCATGTCAAATTCCGTAACCAATCAGAGAATGCATTTAGATTCAACGGGAACGAAAACCCGTCACATGTACGTCCGTTGCCATACTAATCTAGGTTTAGAGTTCTCATCGTCTATGATATTGATACCTTTTGTCATGGATGCTCGTTTCCCATTCTCATCTCGATTATTTCAATTTTAGAAAAACCATAACCGTTCGATTTTTATATCAATTTTTAGTTTGAATAAGTTTTTTCTCAAAAAAAGTAACCATTTGAAAAAAAAAATAGATTTCCGATATTCATTCCCATGTAAACTTTGTTATTATTATTTATTTTTTAAAAAATTATCGGACTTTCGGATGGATTCGAAACTCGATTTGAGTTCAGTCTGGAAATCCGATTTTGGGGTCGAAAAACTTCAATCCGAAATCCGACATTTTCGGGTGGGTTCAGATCGAAGTTCAGACTTCGAGTCTAAATTGACATCCTGCATCCCATCACAAAAGACTCGAGGAAACAGAGACCGAACCGTATAATAAGCTCGAAGCTCGTGATAAAATGACAAACATTTAGAAATAACCAAAATTACAAACTCACCCAAGAAAAAAGTTTATATCAGTTTCACAATACATACGTATAACAACTTCTCTTTAGTAAAATCTAATGACGAACAGTAGATAGCCAAAACCATTTTCGGTGTTCAATGTTTACGCAACAAAGAAGAGGAAAATCATGAGAAATGCAACGAGTACGAAGAATATCTTAATCATCAACCATCTGTTCGATGATATGCTGTTGAGGTACCTGGCCAGTTGGGTCTGCGCCCCTTCCACGTTCGCCAATGTATCATCCATGTTCTGATCGATCCTGTGACGATAATATATTAACGTAAATTATACTTCCTATCTCCGAGATCAACAGACAGCGGAATGATTCTCGGTACCAAGTTCCGTGCCTAAAGGGTTTGATCTAAGTTCCCAAAGATTTGATTGATCTAGACATGGATATGTTTGCTCAAGAGGAAGGAAGACAAAACCTGATAGCAATCTCTCCTTGCTGAGAGACCATAGTCGCGAGTTGTGTGAAGATGTTGCTTAGCTCGTGAATCGTTGATTCGACGTTGTGAAGAGCTTCTGCACGGCTCTGCATGTAAGTGTCTTGTAACGGGACCATCTGTTGCTGCTGCTGCTGCTGTTGTTGTCGATTCTGCAACAATGGTGCAGATTCCGCATCTCCTTGTTTGCTATAAATGGAGAGAGAATATTAGACGCTCAGTCCGGACCCAGGTTGAGATTTTTGTTTCGACCCTCATTTCTTAACAATGCAAAAATTGCAGTTTCTGCCATGAAGGATGGTATATCGGGGAAAGCTAGACAAACATGCTGGGCTTCCCACCACACCAAATTCTTAACCATGATCTAAGAGAGATAAACAAGAACAAATGAGATAACCCGATTTCTAGAAGTTTACCTCGGGAATAACTGCGATGATGATGATGCTGAACCATTTGCCCATGGAGGAGGAGCAGGTTCAGTAGCAGCAGGCTTAGCAGCCAAAGGACGTTGACAAATGAAAGGATTTGCGGATTCTTTGGAAGCGTTCGAAGAAAATAATTGCCTTCTATTCTCATGAACCTTCATGTTCTGCAATGCACATCAGTAAACCAAACATCATATGCGCATTATAACACTAGAAGTAAGATGAAGGGTAAAGCCTAAGCTATCTGTTCATCATCGAAAGATTTAAAAAAATAAAGGAAAGGAAGAAAAAACCTCGGTTCTCATAGTGAGGACATCTTTGAACTCTTTGGTTGCATCCATAAGACGATTCTTTAGGTTGTCCACAACTGTGACTGAGTGAGTGGTCGTGTCACTAGAGAAGCTACCACTATCATTTTGGGAGCTGCAGAGAACTTGAAGGTCGATAACAGCAGTATTCAAAACCGAAATCTCTTGTTTAATCACTGCTGTCAGCTCTTGTATCTCCCTGGTGGGATCATCAAAAACCGATGTCCTCTTTGCGACTGGTTGGAAAGAGAATAACGGGTCAATACACTATGCCCCAAATTTTGAAAAATCAGTAGCCTCATCTTTC